TTTTAAGTTCCCTAGTGATTCCAATGTGTTGCCAAGGTTGGGAATCACTGCTAAAAACTATGGTTGTGGGGGGTCTTTTTGTTTTTTGGGTTTTGTTTGTTTAGGGAGGGGACCTAACATTAGGACAACCTGTGATATTTGTTAAATGTGCATATTGTTGGGCTCTACCCCAGACCTCCTGAGTCAGTAGTTCTGGGAGGACTCATTAACCTAATCAAGGACCTGCTGCTGCTGCTAAGTCGCTTCAGTCATGTCCGACTCTATGTGACCCTATAGACGTCAGCCCACCAGGCTCCTCCATCCCTGGGATTCTCCAGACAAGAATACTGGAGTGGGTTACCGTTTTCTTCTCCAATGTATGCATGCATGCTAAGTTGCTTCAGTTGTGTCCAACTCTGTGCGACCCCATGGACAGAAGCCCACCAGGCTCCACTGTCCACAGGATTCTCCAGGCAAGAATACTGGAGGAGGTTGCCATTTCCTTCTCTGAATCAAGGACCTAGGAGGAAATGTAGTCAGAAAAAGACCACAGGCACCTTGTTTTGTCTCTAGGAGTTTATGCTAATACAAATGCACAGATGTATTGAAAATAAAAAGGTCGGTGTCAAATACGCTAAAATGCTATTTCAAAGCCACTGAGTTGGCCCTTTGGGAACTTGTTTTTTTATCAGATATTCTCTTTCAAGGTAAATCTGTCACTTAGATCTTTAGATGTTTCTGTACTTCTCAGTTTTTCCTCGTAGCAGAGGAAAGATGTTAGCATCTGCCAGCACTTATCTGTCTTACCCTAGATAGAAGCAGATGTTTGAGAATCTGATTATATTTCTCACACTGCTTAGGTTGCTTGCTTTCTTATTCATGATACCTAAAACCATGAAGTTTGAAAATAGAATCTCCATATCTCTTCCATGTGAAAATGGAAGGGATGATAACAGTAGGAAAGAACAATCCAGATGCTGAGGTGTTTTGTCTTTAATTCTTATTTAGGGCCACCAAGAACATGTAGTGAGTTTAAAAAAAAATAAAAAGAGTTCCCTCTAGGCAGACTGAGTGCCAAGAAGTGCTTTTTCCTTCAGCCTGGAGTTGGGGCCCAGGGCTTGGCAGAGAGCCTTTGGTCTGGATTTCAGCTGCTGCTTGGGGCCTCTGGCTTCTGTGTGCCGTACAAGTTGCACACTACATAGCGTAAGCCTCTAGAAGATGTTCATCTGAGAAATAAAGTGCCCTGGATAGAGCACGCCTAAAACAGATACAGCTTAGCAACAAAGCCAAACAAATTTTTTTTTTTTTAGTTCGTCCCTTTGGACCCAGTATTCACAGTTTTAACGATATTTGTAAAAGTCTATAAAGTAAGACTTAAAAATGGAGGAACGCAGAGGGACACCCTCTCTCTCATAGCAGGTGTGTCATTGTACTGCTGCTTTAATTCCAGCGTTTGGGCTTCCATTTTCCCTTCTAGGACCATGGGCTGCGTGGCTTCTTCCAAGGCAGTGTCCCCCGGGCCCTCCGCAGAACCCTGATGGCAGCCATGGCGTGGACAGTCTATGAAGAGATGATGGCCAAGATGGGCCTGAAGTCCTGACCCAGCGGGGACCGGGCAAAGATGGGATCTGTTGTCCTGCTTGGATTCTGCCAAGGGCCGCTTCATCTCACGACGCTGGAGTCGGATGAAGTCCTAGCAGGAGAGCCTGGCAGACACATTGCCTTTAGTTACTCAGTTCAAGAAGAGAATAGGTGGGCCCAACTCAAATAGGTGGGTCCGACTTAAGCCTTCTGAACCTCCCAGAAGAGGAGTCGCTGATAGAGCACGGTGGGGAGTCAGGAAAAGGGTCTGCATACCCTACAAGGCCATGTGAAAAGGCATTTCCAGAGAGAGTGCCGTCGGCGGTCCTGCTCAGCCACCCACTACACCACGCCGCCTGCTTGGATCTGCTCTTGGGAAAGAAATTGCAACCCCAGAGATGCTGTGAGCTCTCCATTGTGTCTGAGGAGTTCTAGCAGCGAGACTGGATCTGCCAAGCAAGGAGTCACACTCACCAGGCTGAAGTCTCCCTCTGAGGTGATGTTAGGATGAAGAAGAAAAGATGTCATGACTTAACTGATTCCTTGTTAATTTCTAAGAGGCGCCAGGAAGCAGGGAAGGGAATTAGTTTCGTAGCCTCTAAGTGTCCAAATAATATTTTTTGGTTTCGGCCCCTGCATGGTTTCAACTTCAAGTTGATCTGGCATTTTTCTGCAGCTAAAGTTGGGATAAATAAAGTGAAGCATTTTATCACTGGAAAACCTCAAGTGCCATGACTCCATCCTACAGTAACAAAATAAGGTGGCTAACACTTGATCTGTATAGGTCCGCAAGCTTAAAATTGTTTAAAATAGCTTTATTTTATATGTTATATGATCCGTCCATTCCAAATACACAATTCTATGATTTTTGTAAGTAACTTTATTGTCTACTGCAGCCCATCAGCATAAATCAGTTTTAGAACACATTCACACCTCCAGTAAGAGCTCTTATTTACAATGAACCTTCCAAGCCCAGGCAGCCACTGATCTGCTTTCTGTCTATAAATTTGCCTTTTCTCTGCACTTCCTATAAGAGGACTAATACAGTGTAGTCTCCCATGTAGTCTTTCATATGTAGTCTCTTGTGTCTGACTTTTTTCACTTAGAATAACATTTTGGAAGTTCATCTATGATGTGGCATCTTCAATACTTTATTCCTTTTTATGGCCAAATCTATTGTGTGCCTATTCTATTTATCCATTCATCAGTTGATGAATATGTGCATTGTGAACACTTTTTGGCACTTAGAAATAACGCTACTATGAACATTCCTGTATGAATCATTTGTGTGGATATATATTTTCATTTTCCTCGTGTATATGCCTCGGAGTGGTGTTACCGGTGGTATTATTCTTACGGTTTCTGGTGGTTGCTGGCAATTCTTGGCTTTCATCACTCCAATCTCTGTCTTCACAATGCTTTCTCCCCCATGTATCTCTCTGTCCAGATTTCCGAGTTTAAGTTTATACTTTACATTCTAAGGTTAGAATGCCCTATGTACAGTTATACTATGTGGAGGAGTGTGGGAGAGGAAAAGTAGGATCCTAGTCTAGTGGTACCTAAGCCACTAGTGATTGGTGCCCTGTGTGTATGAGGCTGTGTGCTGGGGGAAGCGGGGAGCACTTAGGGGTGGCAGTTGTGTACTTGGGGCAGGAATGCAAGGCAGGCAGCTTAACACAGATAACGGATGGGGCGCCTGCTGCCTGAGGACTTACTTAGCCTCTGAGGCAAGATGTTCAGGTTTTTAGGCCTCTTCAGTCTCCCTTGACCGACCCTCATCTTGGGCTCTGGGAGCCTAGAGCCAGTGAGGGCCCTGCCAGGGACTTGGGAGGGGAGGAGCAGAGATGAGGCCGAGGGGTACAGGCTTTATCCAGTACATATTTGCTCATCTTATACACAGCTGATGAATTTCAGTTACCCGAGTCCCCTTCCCCACTCCTCATTTTTTCTTTTGGGGACATATCATCTTAAAATTTGGAGAAATCATCTCATTTTCTCTAAACGTGGGGTAAAACTGAAGTTTGCCTTTACGAAATCTGACTCCAGGAGTGAAGGCCCCTGGGGTCTGCATATCCCAGGCTCCAAGAAATTTTTTCCTCTCCCACTGTCTCCCACAAGTATTGACGTTCAGGCAGGAAGTGGGCAGTGAGCTTCAGCTGACTTTGGAAACACTGCCCAGTTCCCCCCACCTCCTTTTTTTTTTAATGAAAAAAAAATTGATTTGTTCTTAACTGCCCCAGAGTTAAAGCAAATTATTTTGGGGCGGGGGCTTTGTGGGAGTAAACAGTCATCTGGCAGCTAGAGATAAGGCCTAGTAAGGCAGGAAGCAAAAAGGACTGAAGCCAAGCTTTCAAGCTGCATTATACTGTTTCCAAGAGTATATTATGAAATAGCTCAATCAAAACAGAGTAAATGGTACACTGCCCGTCACTCAGCATCACTCAAATAGAACAATCACCAGAATTGACTCACTACTGCTCGGCTCTCCCCTCTCCCCACTACCTCCTTTATTCTGCAATGAAGCTTTTAAAAGCAGATCCCAGACTTAGACCATTTCATCCTTCCACATTTCAATATGCATCTCTAAAAATCAAGGACATTTTTCTTCTGTGAGTACCATGTTATTACTCCACCAAAAAAGCAGTTAACAGTTTTTGTTTTTGCTTATCATCCGGTACTCAGCCCATATTCACAGTTTCTCTGATGGCCTCCGAAATGATTGTTTACAGTTGGTTTAATTGAGTCACGATTCAGGTAAGTCCTGAGATTCTTTCACCAACTGTTTGAAAGGGTAAGTAATTTTGAGGCAGACCATGGTTTAACTGAGTCATCACTTCCTGAGAGCCCTATCAAGTCAGGGAACAGAGGAATAGGAGGAAGAGGGGGGTTGCAAAGCTGCGAAGTGCTCCTTTCACACCCCTCAGGCTGAACAGTGCATTTCCGACATCTTATTGCCTTCAAATTACTAGTTTTTGTCACCAGGTCCTCTAAAAAACTAGTTTTTGCCACCAAGTCCTCTAAAAGAGCTGGCTCGATCCCATAATGCCTATGTGTCTTTTCAGTTTCCAAGTTTTCCCCTGCTCCTTGGGGACTGGCTTAGGTAGCTGACAGACGCTTTAAGATCCGTGGTTCTTAAATTTGGCTGCAGGTTGGAATCACCTGGGAAGCTTTAAAAACCACTAGAACCTGGGTCGGTCACCCAGAGGGTCTAGTGTAATCAGGCTAGGTTGTGGCCTGGGCATGAGTAGTGGGCCTGGCGATTCTAACGCACTGCCAAGGCCTTGCAGGAGCCTTGCAGGGCGGGCACCACTCAGCTTTCCCAACCCAGGCTCCAAGGGTTAAGCCGCAGACGAGCTCTTGTGGGCGGAGCGAGGCCTCTAGGGTGCGGGGCGGGGCTCCGGGTCGGGGGCGGGGCCCGGGCCTAAGCGGGGAAGGCGGGAGCTTCCAGGCCGCCCTGGTCCCGCTCGCTGGGCTTAGCTGGGCGAGCGGAAACGCCTCCACTTTTCAAAACAAAGAGGAGAAGCGGGAGGCGTGTGTGGCGCGCAGGGCTCAGATAGGTCTCTTCTGCCCGGGCGCTTCAGCATCGCTGGGGGACAATGGAGGGGAGCCTGGGAAGCGGCCGGCGCTCGAGGTCAGACGGTCAGCCGGCGCCTGCGAAGATCTCGCCGGCCACAGAGGAGCTGCAGAGCCGCTTGCAGGAGACCCTGGACTTGCTATCCTCGCAGGAGCTGCGCAGCTTCCGCGACCACCTTAAGAAAGTAGAGCCGCGCGCGAGCCAGGTGAAGCTGGAGCTGGAGGGCCACAGCTCGTCGGGGCTGGCCGGGCTTCTTGCCAAGCTCTATCCGCCGGCCGCCGCCAAGCGCGTCCTTGTCCAGGTGCTGGAGCTGCTGCCCCGCGCAGACCTGCTGCCGCGCTGGCAGAGCGCCCCCACCGATTGCCCTGGTGAGTGCGCGGGGATTCCCGGAGGAGGGGGTGCTCGGGGCCGCGGGGTTTGGCCCCTGCCGCCCGGGGATTCCCGGATTGGGGCAGGGGCGGGGGTGGGGTGGGTACTGACCTAGGGAGGGGTAGACTGGCGGGGGGAGGGCCCTAGGTGAGGGCCGGGTTTGGCCCCGGAGCCCAGGTGAGCGGCGGGGGACCGAGTATCAGTGAGGGGCGATGGGGGAGGCGGAGCAAGAAGGACGAGGGCCTCGAGGGACGGAGAGAACCCGCGCGGAGGGTGGGAGCCCGGGAGTCGGCGGGAAGAAGAGAGATCGTTCGTTCCCAGGCACGGAATCCAAGTGACCAGTCCAAAGCAGCCATCAGGGTTTACCATTCTGGGACGGGCTGAGAAATCCAGATTGACTCAGCAAGACTAAGGTGCATTTTTAGCAGTTACCTCCGAGTGGTTATGATGGAGAAGGTTTTTAGATGGTGCAATGGAAAACTCAATGTTGGAATACACCGTTAGAACATTTGCCATAAATCTGGGAAGATGTGGTTTAGGAGCAAGAAACGTAACAAGCTGGGGGAGGTTAGGGTTTCCCCTGGTAAATTTAATTTAAAGGTATGTGTGTATAATATACGAGGCAGTTTGTGTACACGTGTGTAGAGAGACAGAAGGAGAGAGTGAGAAAGAGGAGAAAGAGAAAGCGCTTATATTGGGCGTGTTGAGGTAGACACCAAAATATACTATAGCTGGTGTCTGTTCTCCCATGCTTCTGATCTGATTGAGTTTGAAGTATGTTGCTTTGCTGACATTTGAATTTGTAATGGGTGACCACCGTAAACCACCACAAAACATGGCCTGTAGTTAGAATACTGGCCCTGGGAAGCCTTCGGTTCTCCCTTGACTGCGTCTGCACGGCACTTACACTGTCCGTCCCTGCTGAGCTGTTATCATGCTTTAGACTGTGAATCTCTTGCAGTTGGTAAAGTGGGTTATTTTTTGGTTTTTCAGAACCAACCAAACTACACAGTATCATGACTACACACTGTAGATGCCCCCAAAATACGTGAATGCTAAGTTTGTTTAATTAAAACATCAAATAGGGTCTTTAACTTCATTTGTCTCTTTATTGAAGTCTTGGTCTCCTTTTCTGGAGGTTCATATTCAGTAATGTTCATTGGTCTTTATCCTTTTCATCTCTGGCCTGCCTCTCCCTGGCCCCTGAACCTGACTGAGGCCTAAAGGAGTTCTGTTAAGTTTCCATTCTCATGAGTTTGGGAGAGGGTTTTCATGATCCCGGAAGCCTGTTCTGAAATGAGATTGAAGCCTGCTGGGCCCCAAAACGAAAGTCAACTGTTTTTCTTGGGAGTTGCTTTCTGTTAACAGGAACGACTACCGATCATAATTAAAAAGAGAAAAGTGGGGGAAAAAAATGCTCTTTTCTGTTTTGTCTTTTCACGAAAATTCATTCAGTGATTCCACGAAAGATTCCAAAGAGAAGCTACGACTGTGTGGATGGTGAATTGGTAAGTATCTGGATTTTTATTCTAACGCTACACGTTAGTCGGCTTCCCTGCTGGCTCAGTGGTAAAGAATCGTCTGCAATGCAGAAGATGGAAAAGACGTGGGTTAGATCCTTGAGTGGGGAAGATACCCTGGAGTACGAAATGGCAACCCACTCCAGTATTCTTGCCTGGAGAATCCCCATGGACAGCGGAGTCTGACAGGCTACAGTTCATGGGGTTGCAGAGAGTTGGACTACTTAGTGCATGCTCACACTTTAGTCAGTTCAGATAGTATTTAGATACCATTTGAATGGTTTTTGTGCTGCTTCTGCTGGGCTGAAAATGAACATCTGTGTGGTTGTCTCAAGTGGTCAGATCTTTCTGCTTTCTGTTATAAATAGAAAAAGCAAAATATTAGCCAGTTAAAACCACTTTGCATGCATTAACCAAATTAGGTAAGTATGGTTAGTATCTCCATTTTACAAATCAGGGCACCGCAGGTTGTATGGCCTTGCACAACTACATAAATTGCTGGCTTCTGACTCTTTTCTGTTTGTTTTATTATGAACATTTAAAACATAAGCTAAAGTAGAAGAGAAAAATGAATCCCCATACTCCAGTGCCACCTTCCTAGAGCCCTACTTCAACAATTAGCAATGTAGCCAGTCTTGTTTCATCTGCTCCCTCGACCTTGTTATTTTAAAGCAGCCCTCTCCCACACCCAGATATCTTATCACTTTCATACATACAATACTTGAGTATGTATTTAGCAAGCCTAGAAACAAATTCCTTAGTCTCGGTAGAGATGCAGTTAGCCTACAGATGTCCTTGGCTGGTTCCAGTGTCTTGTACAGTTGGATTGTTTGAGTTCGGCTCTGATTCAAACACAAATACATTTGAAGGTCTTTTAACACTCTTAATTTATGATACCTTTCCCTCTAACCTCTTCTGTTGTTTGTTGCCAAAGCCTGGTTATTTGTCCTGTAGAATGTCCCACCTTCTGGATTTCCATAACTGCATTTTCCTTACACCGTGTAGTTATGTCATTTACCATTTGCCACTTTCCTTAAACGGGTAGTTATGGCTATGTATAGGAATTTAGAGATGAGATTGGCCTGTTGGTCCAAGTTTGACAAAGGTATTTGATATAAAGGAAGTCATGACAAGAGGAAATCAGTGTTAAACTCGTTTCACATATGAGGCACATTTGGATTCAGTTTGGTTTTAACATTGTTTCTTGGCTTTCCTTGCAAACAGGACCATTATGACCTACGTGGCAGGCGGGAGGCCTTCCTCATGTGTGTGAAGAAGAACAGGCCAGGAGCTCACCAGGATGTCCAACTGATGAAGGATTGGCTTAACGAGTGCAAGTTCGAACAGACGTTGTGCATCGATCCTGACAAAATGGTATCAAGTTAAAAACAAAAGTGAAAATTTGTAGCTTGGGCCTTTCCTGGTGGTCCAGTGGTTAAGACTCTGTGCTTCCACTACAGGGGGCTTGGGTTTGATCCCTGGTCAGAGAACTAAGATCCCACATGTCCTGTGACATGGCAAAAAAAAAAAAGGAAAAATAGTAGCTTGGATATTATAATTTTCCTTTCTTCTTTAAAAAAATTGAGTTTTATTACCTGGTTAGAACCAGGGCCTGCTGAGTGATGGACCTGAATGTCCTGATGAAATTCTAACCAAGCTTCCCTAATGGATACAGGAGCTTTTGTCATGTTCAGTTCAGTTCAGTTGCTCAGTTGTGTCCGACTCTTCGTGACCCAATGGACTGCAGCACGCCAGGCTTCCTTGTCCATCACCAGCTCCCGGAGCCTGCTCAAACTCATGTCCATTGAGTCGGTGATACCACTGAACCATCTCATTCTCTGTTGTTCTCTTGTCCTCTCGGCTTCCATCTTCACCAGCATCAGGGCCTTTTCCAATGAGTTGGCTCTTTGTAAAAGGTGGCCAAAGTATTGGAGTTTCAGCTTCAGCATCAGTCCTTACAATGAATATTCAAGATTGATTTCCTTTAGGATTGACTGGTTTGATCTCCTTGCAGTCCAAGGGACTCACAAGAGTCTTCTCCAACACCACAGTTCAAAAGCATCAATTCTTCCACACTCAGCTTTCTTTATGATCCAACTCTCACATCCATACATGACTACTGGAAAAAAAGCAGCTTTGACTAGATGGACTTTTGTTGGCAAAGTAAATGTCTCTGCTTTTTAACATGCTGTCTAGGTTGGTCATAACTTTCCTTCCAAGGAGCAAGTGTCTTTTAATTTCATGGTTGCAGTCACCATCCACAGTGATTTTGGAGTCTAAGAAAATAAAGTCTGTCACTGTTTCCATTGTTTCCCTATCTGTTTGCCATAAAGTGATGGGACTGGATACCATGATCTCCGTGTTTTGAATGTTGAGTTTTAAGCTAGCTTTTTCATTCTCCTTTTTCACTTTCATCAAGAGGCTCTTTAGTTCTTCACTTTCTGCCATAAGGTGGTGTCATTTGCATATCTGAGATTATTGATATTTCTCCCAGCAGTCTTGATTCCAGCTTGTGCTTCATCCAGCCTGGCATTTCACATTATGTACTCTGCATATAAGTTAAATAAGCAGGGTGACAATATACAGCCTTGATGTACTCCTTTCCCAATTTGGAACCAGTCTGTTGTTCCATGTGTGATTCAAACTGTTGTTTCTTGACCTGCATACAGATTTCTCAGGAGGCATGTAAAGTGGTCTGGTATTCCCATCTCTTTAAGAATTTTCCAGTTTGTTGTGATCCACACAATCAAAGGCTTTGGCATAGTCAATAAAGCAGAAGTAGATGTTTTTCTGGAACTCTCTTGCTTTTTTGATGATCTGGATGTTGGCAATTTGATCTCTGGTTCCTTTGCCTTTTCTATATAGAGCTTAAACATCTGGAAGTTCTCAGTTCATGTACTGTTGAAGCCTGGCTTGGAGAATTTTGAGCATTACTTTGCTAGCATGTGAGATGAGTGCAATTGTGCAGTATTTTGAATGTTCTTTGGCATTGCCTTTCTTTGGGTTAGAATGAAAACTGACCTTTTCCAGTCCTGTAGCCACTACTGAATTTTCCAAAGTTTCTGGCATATCGAGTGCAGCACTTGCACAGCATCATATTTAGGATTTGGAGTAGCTCAACTGGAATTCCATCACCTCCATTAGCTTTGTTTGTAGTGATGCTAGAAGGCCCACTTGACTTCACATTCCAGGAGGTCTGGCTCTAGTTGAGTGATCACACCATCGTGCTTATCTGGGTCATGAAGATCTGTTTTGTATGGTTCTTCTGTGTATTCTTGCCACCTCCTCTCAATATCTTCTACTTCTGTTAGGTCCATACCATTTCTGTCCTTTATTGTGCCCATCTTTGCATGAAATGTTCCCTTGGTGTCTCTAATTTTCTTGAAGAGATCTCTAGTCTTTCCCTTTCTGTTGTTTTCCTCTATTTCTTTGTTGTTCACTGAGGAAGGCTTTCTTATCTCTCCTTGCTATTCTTTGGAACTCTGCATTGAGGGGATATGGAGAGGGATTACTGAGAGCCCTGGGCAAAACTGCATTGTGATTTAACTAGATGACCGAGAAGAAGATGAGGGGGAAGAGCGTGGTGGATGGGTGGGAGCTTCATTGTGACCTCTCTGACCCCAGCTGAGTCCAGGTCTAGCCCTGCCTATCTTTTGGATTAATAACAGAGGAGAGTCCTTCATAGACCCCAGGAGTCATTGCTAGTGAACATGAAGTGACAGCATAGCAGGAGGGCTAGAAGAACCACACATACCAACAGAGGTGGAGCCCTATCTCTTACCAGTTGTTAGTCTAATCCTCAACTGGGGGTGACTGTCCCCCTGGGGGCTACTTCTGATACTGTCGGGAGACATTTTTGGCCTTCCCAGGTAGCACAGCAGTAAAGAACCCTCCTGCCAATGCAGGAGACATGAGAGACGCGGGTTCGATCCCTGGGTTGGAAAGATCCCCTGGAGAAGGAAATGGCAACCCACTCCAGTATTCTTGCGTGGAGAATCCCATGGACGGAGGTGCCTGGCGGACCGCAGTCCAGGGGATCACGAAGAGTTGGACGTGACTCAGCGTGCACTCATGCCAGCGCACAGAGACGTTTTTGCTTTTCATCATTGGAGGGTGCTGTTGGCATTAGTGTGGATGCCAAGGCAGAACCAAGGTCGCAGCTGAACATGTGACAATGCATAGCACAGCTCCCGAGGCAAAGCTCCCTGACACAAAATGTCGGTACTGCGATAACTCTAGAAATTCTGCCGTAAATTAACGGACGGCTTTCCTATCTCTAAAATGGGGAGGTTATAGTAATTTATTATGTAGGGCTGGGGTGAGGATGAAATGAGCTGCTTTATGTAAAAGTTCTCAGGATAATAGCTGGCCCATGGTAAGTACTCGATAAATTTAGATTTTGTTTCAAAGGTAAAAGCAGACTCCTTCATGTTTTCCACGGATTGTACCAGAATTTCTTCTGTGTTATGTGATTTTTTTTAAACCCATCTTTTCCATTCAGGCGACAGATAATTGCCAATGTTTTTCTGGTTTATGCTCCTAAAGGTCCAGAAGTGACTTCTTTCTCTACATCCTGTCAACATTTATTTGTAAATATTTAGCAATCTTACTGGTAAAATTATTTTACTTTTTCATTTTCTTGACTATTAGCATGGTTGAACATCTTTTGGTCATTATTTTCCCTTCTGTGAATTACCTGTTTACATCCTTTGCCCTTTTTTCTTACTGGATTTTCTTTTCTTATTCTGTAGTTCTTTTTCCTGAATTTTAGGTAAGATAGACTGCAGATATTTTTCTCCTGCCTTGTTACTTGCCTTTTGACTTTTTGTTGTCTCAAGTCATGGAAGTTTTCATTGTAAACTCGTCAGTCTTTCTTTTTGTCAGCTTCTTGGTTTTTCTGTCTTGATTAAACCCCAGCTTAAAATTTAGTATTTATTTTTGGCTGCACTGGGTCTTTGTTGCTGGGCGGGCTTTCTCTAGTTGGTGAGCGGGGCTACTTTTAGTTGCGGGGCTTGGACTTCCCACTGCTGTGACTTCTCCTGTCGCAGACACAGGCTGTAGGGCATGCGGGTTTCAGTGATCGGGGCTCCCCGGCTCTGGGGCACAGGCTCAGGAGCTGTGGCAGGTGGGTGTAGTTGCTCCTTGGCGTGTGGGTTCCCGGATCAGTGTCAGACCCTGCTCTCTTGCATTAGCAGGCGGATTCTTTACCACTGAGCCGAGAGGAAGCCCCCCAGCTAAAAATTTTTACAATTATTTTTCTATAATATCTTTATAGTTAAGGTTAGCCTTCTGCTCACTGAAACAGTGAGGTGGGAGGTCTACCTTTATTTCCAAGCCAGTTTTCACTTGGTGGTACATCCTTCCCCCATATAGGTGAAATTCCATTCTTGTCATAAATTAAATCCCTGTATGTGTATTTGGATTGATTTCTGGATTCTAAAATATCTATTCATGTATTTGTTTATACTTATGCTGCTATATCAGTGTCTTGTTCCCCATGATTTTATAGTGCATTTGGACATCTGAGATGATCTATCGCCCATTCATTGTTTTGTTTGTTTGTTTGTTTGCCTTTGTTTTTTACTTCTGAATGTTGTCTGCTATTCTTGGGTACCTTGCTATTTCTGAGGATCTGTTTTCTGTGACCTTGAGAACCATCTAGTTAAGTTTCACAGAAATCCTTTGAGGTTTTACCTCATACGACATTGACTAGAAATTTATTTGGAGTTAACTGACAAATTAATAGTATTGAGTCATCGCAATCAGAAACTTCAGGCTGTTGTAGTTTATGTTGCCTCTTCACCGAAGATTTTTTAAATAATTTTCTTCACTGAGATAATGTTCATCTCTTGTTAGATTTATCCCTAGGTAATGTTCTACTTTTGTTATGACCTTCAAAGGATCCCTTTTCCATTATCCAGTTTAAATGTTTTATTCCTGGGTAATTAGGGAACTCTCAGTTCAGTTCAGTTCAGTCTCCCAGTCGTGTCCGACTCTTTGCGACCCCATGAACTGCAGCATGCCAGGCCTCCCTATCCATCAGCAACTCCCGGAGTCCACCCAAACCCATG